AAAAAAAAAAAAACCAAATATCTGCTCGACAACATTAGGTAACAAAGGCCAGAGCCACCCGCCATCTACTGGCATTGGGTAACGATCAGTGTGACAAAAAAGCCGTGCGAGTCAGAATCTGGCAAAATGCAGCGGAATGAAGTAAATTTCGACTCTTACTAAATGTTTCCTTCAATCCAGCGCTGGTTCTTGATGGTGTTTTTTTAGCCCGAATGAGAGCGTTTTTAGCAATACAACATCTATTAATAAAGCTTTGTTAAAAGGTCCTTTTTCTGGCGAATTAGTTAGCCGTTAAATATAACAAATTACATTGGTCTGCATTAAAACAATTATTAAACACATGGACAACTTTTTTAAACTTCGCACGATCACGGACGAACACAGTCAAAGTTCCAAAAAATTTTTAATGAGCTGTTTTCTGCAAAATTGGCCTTGAAAAGTGTCAGAGCAAATTGTATGAGCATGAAGACTTGTTGTGGCAATCAAAAATTGAAAGCCTATTAAATGACGCTTCACATGACGCCAGAAATTGAAAATCTTGTTGCTCGATAAGCAACATGCTTTTATAATAGCTATATTTAGTAGACACCGAGATCTAAGAATGACCTTCGAAGCTACGTGCTAGTGAACGACTATCAAAACTTGAAAACATGGGTTTTTATGCGTTTTTGCCATGCAGCGCTAGAGCGCTGCAGCAGGCAGCAAAAACGCATATTGCAACTACCCCGTGTGTGTGTGTTATTCGGGTATTTCTACTCTTCAGCCATGCAAGTTTCGATGCTGAAATTTTGCCAGTGTATTCCTAGGTCAAGCACAACCCCATGCGCATGGTATCAACTGTCACGCACGTCTATGTCTTACGTACGGCACGTGAAGATTTTGGCGGACAAATTGCTAGCTCGGGAACGAAAAAAGCTAGAAAGCTGAAACTTTAGGGGAATATTCCCTACTCATGTACGACCAAAAGATTTCAAATTCAGCTGCTTAGAACCGCCCTCACGTGCGGACATGTGAAAATTTTAGAGGAAAAATTGCTAACTCGAGAACGAGAAAAGCTAGAAAGCTGAAAGTTTATGGAAATGTTCAGTACTCATGTTCGACCAAATTCAGCTCCTTAGAATCGCTTGGGACTCACGTACAGGCACGTGAGAGTATTGGCGGGAAAACCGCTGCTTGGGAACAGAGAAAGGCTGGAAGGCTAGAATTTTAAAAGAATGTTCCCTACTCATTTACGACTAAAAGGTTTCGAATGCAACTCTTCCAGCGGGGTCTTCTTCGCGCACCAGCAACTTTCCATTTGTTGGATCACTGAAGCCGACATCTACAGCTGACTTGTCACACAGCTGCACAATTAAGTTCCTAAACTTCGAGGGCTAATATTGCACAAATTCTAGTTAATGTGATTCCTTGCGATCTTACTACAGCACGAAATAGTGTAAAAACGCATGATCACACCGGCCCGCCTGGTGCTTTCCAGCCTGGGTTTTGCTTCAGAGACTTCTGACCGACGTTCGGGACATTTACAGTTATGCCAGTATAAACTAAAAATTCCAGCTAAATCCGATTTCAACCGCCTAAATACGCTAGAAACCGTTCTGTCACAGAAAGAATAACAGGGTAGCCGGTGCGATCATGTGTATTGCGCAACTCCGCCCAGCGAACGTCTGTCTGCTAAAAATATAACTGTTTTACACTTTCGTATGTGGAAAAATAATCGATGTGCTGTCTGACTCCCCAGGTGAGGAATTTCTCACTGAAAATTACACGTGCCGGTACGTGAAAACTGATTTGAAACCATGGACTAGGAACATCCCTCCAAATTTCAACTTTTTAGTTTTCCAGCTTTCGAGTTAGTGACTTTCTCATTAAAACTCTCACGTGGTTGCACGTGAGACCCCAGCATAGCTAAATTTGAGTTTGTGAAATATTTGTAGAGGCAGAAAACATCCTTCTGAAGTTTCAGCCTCAGTTACTGAGATAACAATTTTCACTACCAAAACTTTCGCGGGGCCACATGAGAAAGCCAAGCGTACATGAAAGTTGAAATTGATTTTGCGAGGTCGCATTCTCCTCAAATTTCAGCTTCCTATCTTTTATGGCTTCCGAGACACTAATTTTTCCTGCCGAAATATTCACGGAGGCATGACTGAGGCCCAGCCTTGATTGAAAACTGATTTTGAATTTGTGAGGTTGCACGTGGGAAGGAAACAATCTCGTTAAATTCCAGCCTCCTAGCTTTCAAGATTCCTGGGATAATTTTCTCACCAAAATTTTCACAGGGTCGTACGCGGTACCCTAGCGCATGGAAAAGCTGAATTTAGGTTTTCTGGGTCGCACGTGGGCAGGAGACATACCCTCAAAATTTCAGTTCCCCGCCTCCCGTAGTCCCCAGGATAATAATTTACTCACCGAAACTTTACAGGGCCGTACGTGTTACCCGAGGGCAAGGAAGGGCTGAATTTAAATTTGCGTGGTCACACATAGGCAAGGAAAACCCCTCTAAATTTTCAGCCTCTTAGCTTTTGTGGTACTCGAGTAGAAAGCTGCGGACAAGATGCATCGGGGACACACACACACACACATACACGCAGATAACCTCGTGACAATGTTCGTCTTGTGTTGCTGTTACACAGCGCAAAACGCATAAAAATTAACGAGCTCTGAAGGATCTGCTTAGCATATCCCTCATGGACAGCTCAGTCCACCTCAACAGTTAATTTTACTACGACAAGAAGGAAATGCTGGCAAAGATAGACGGGCGAACGACCGACATAATTTGGAAATTGCCGAAAACTCGTTTCGTCAGCAATCGCTCACTGCCCCTGGCAATCAGCACACCACTGATACGATCACTGTTATCCTGAAGAACCATTCTGTATGTTTCTCGGAGAATGTTCACACTGTGCAAGAATGCAAAAAAAAAAAAAAAATTTCAAAATTTGACTGCAATCGCCCTAACTCATAGTTATGCCTCAAAGCAATTAATGCAGCGCTGCCGGCGACAAACGGGTCTTTTAAAAAAGCGTAATAATGAAATTCGATTCCCCTGGAGCGGCATATTTTGTGAACCTGAATCCTGTCTGTCAAGTGAACCTTTGCGCTGCAGCGGCATTTGATTACTGTTAAAATGTCTGAAGTAACCCAAAATTAAAATACTCACATTAATCTAAAATAACTGGCCAACGCACGGGCTGCCCGTGCGAAGACGCGTTTTTTGCATAGTTCCCCGCAGTGTTTGTCGCTACCGGCACCAGTTTTTCCCGCAAATGCTTCTAGCTAAACAAATTAAGACTGGCCACCAGAACTTCAAGAAACGCTCCCTTAAAATTCCAGTTTTCTAGCTTTCCTACCCCCCGAGTTATCAACTTACTGGAAAAAGATTTTCACGGGCTGTACATGGGTACCACGCACACCCCATGTCTGGATTTGAGCTCGTTGAGACTTACGCAGACGGGGCTCTTAAAATTACAGTCTTCTAGCTTTTCAGGTTCTCGAGTTAGCAACTTACCCGAGAAAAACTTCGGTGAGTACCACGCATACCCGATGGCTGAGTTTAGACTCATCAGTACCTACTTGGGCAGAGAACAGTCCCTTAAGATTCAGCCTTCTAGCTTTTCAGATCCCTGTGTTATCAACCTACCCGAAAAAAACTTGCACGGGAACGTACGTGGGTACCACGCTTACTCGGAGACTGAGTCTGAGCTAATTCCCACTTGGACGGGGAACATCTCCTTAAGATTTCAGCTTTCTGGGTTCTTAGGTCCCGAATTATCAACTTACCCGAAAAAAACTTTGGCGGGCCCGTATGCGGGTACCACGCTCACCCGGGAGCTGGTTTTGCGGTCATTTAGACTTACGTGGACGTGAAATATCTCCTTAAAATTTCAGCTTTCTAGCTTTTTTGGCTCGCGAGTTAGTGACTTGCCCACAAAAAACTTTCACCAGCCAGTACATGGGTACCACGCTGGTAAGACTGCCCATTTTGGGGATGGGGCCCATACATGCATGTAGATTAAGTTCCCAAAGTTTCAGCCCTGTAGCTTTTGTAGGTCTCGAGATGAAAAACCGGTACAGAGGCCCAGCACACACACAGACACACACACAGACACACACACAGACACCCACACAGACACACACACAGACAACCTCTCGTCAATATGCGTTTCCGCATTGCGTAGCTGCAAAAAACACATAATTAAAATATCCATATTAACGAGCGTTTCAATTTCCAGTAAGGAATGCACTTAGGAGGCAAACACGTTGTTCCGAATTTCAGCGCAATTATATCAGAATCACATATACAAAAATTGACCAAGGGGAATATCTGTTGCTATGCTTCTAAACAACTCCAACAAGGAACGGCATTTTTAGCAAAATTTCAAGCACTTGACCCTATGTAGAGCTGCGCGCTTCAAACCTGAATTCAGCCTTTTGTTCTGTATTGATTCAATTTATGAGGGTTTTATGTTAGTCTTAAGTACATTAAGCT